TCTCTCTCAGTGCGCTGCCCTTTTAATATGAACACAGAATGGATTAGAAGCTTTAGGGAGAGGGCTGCTAAGGGCAGGTTTAATCTCTTATCCAGACCTTTCACGGCTAAGCGGCCAATTTCAGTTACATTTCATGGTAGGATCTGGGTACAAGTTAGGAGAGGGATTTTCAAATAGTAAGAGCGATAAGCAATGAAATGCTCAAGATGTACTAAGGGTAGAATCAGGAAGTAAATATGAGTACACTTTCGCTAGTTCATTTTTTTATGTTACCATTTAATTTTTCCGAGTTTCTTCCGACGCTACATCTAAGCCTAATTAATACTTATAAGGTTTTGTAAAGTTTCGATATGCTTTGGCAGGGGTTTATTTTTATTCTTTTGTAGAGAAGGGTCTTTTAGTGAGCCCAAATATATCCTTACAGTTAGCTTAACAGAGAAATATTGTGGTAAAGTGTAAAACATATTCTCAGAAATCAAATTTGATAAAAACCTCGCCAGGTAAATTTGATGAACCAAGTGGCCAAATTGTTTTATCATTTTATTGTGCATTCGTTACAATAACTTACGGCACTTAAAACCAGCCAGGAATGACAGTCATATCCTCATGAAATTTTAAAGTGAATTAGTGAGTATCATGGACTCAGTCTTCATTGTGGAATGAAACATAACCATCCCCCTCGTCACAACCTCCTTTTGTGATACTCCATGTTGCGTTTTCCACATAGGACCCTCCCCCCCCTCCCTTCTCCTCATCAAAATCAATTCCACCTCCTGTATATCCACCCCCTCCCCCAGCGAAGTTATTACAGGCTCCTCCTCCGCCAAAGCCACCATCACAACCTGCCACCTCTCCCCCCTTACCTCCTGCAATAAAGGACTTTCCTCCTTTGTTACATACTTGCATTGAACAGATCTCTCTAGGATGTACACGATCAAAACATCCTCCACTTCCGTTAATCCCAGCTCCGGTTCCAGAGTCGGGCTCTATTCCCTTGGAAGGATCGACACAAATACGTCCACCCTCCCCAATGCCGCCGCCAGCGTTGCCGCTCCCATTTACTTGATCGTTACCTGGAAGACCATATTTAGATCGACCACCCCCTCCCCCACCGGCTACGAGAAGAGGCCTCATCTGAGGAGAATAAACAACAAATGTTCCTCCACCACCACTCCCTGAGCTACCCCCACTTGGCGATACGCCTTTCTGTCCAACAAGTATGACAAGTTTGACTCCTTTTTCCAGCAAGACAATGCCATTAATTTTAGCCCCTCTACCTCCATTCTGAAACCCTTTCCCACCAGACGCTCCACATGCCTCCACTTGGAATCTGCCAGTAAATGGTACAATCCATTCTTGTTTTCCATCGATCACTTGCACGTCCCTTAGTCCAGTTCCTCTGTGACCGGCATTACTTTCGGGGCCATTTCGTCCTTCCGCACCCAGCGAGGTAAAATTATACCAGACTAGCAAAATGCAATAATGGGTGATAATCCATGCATTTTATGAGCGCGTCATACTCTAAGCAGATTTTAGCTATTCTGAAGATTAGGAATAAAATCATCAAAAGCCTGTTCATTCGTCGAAGGGAAACCCCCCCTCCTCCCCTCCCCCACCGAGGAAGAAGTCTTTAAGGATGAAGAGCAACCGTAAAGAGTTTCTTTTGAAGTGGTATGTGGAGCGTTGTTAGTCTCATAGACAGACCTTTCACGGTCAAGCAGTTACAGTTAAACGGTAGGATCTAGTTTCGACTTTAGAGCGTTGTCACATGACATCGCAGCCGCCAAGTAAGTGCAATTAAACAATACAACTGCACCCATTTTTTTATCAAACAGCCGTAAGATTTTTCATATGTATACATTCGCTTTTGCTTCCCCAAATTTACATGACTGGAAAAGAATGAAAATCATCCGGTTCATGGATTTTTGTTGGAATAAAAGAAACCTTTGAAAAAACTTACCAAGTTTTGTTTCACAGAAGCTCCCCGTCCATGGTACATGACATGAGCATGCATAATGTTGCTTGTCAAATGCACAAACGCCATTATTTTGACAACTTCGCCATTGGCAATCATCCTGAAAGGCAAATAGAAGACACCAATTACGTACTAAGTGGTGTTTCTAAGAGGGTCTCAATAGCGTAAATAATGAAAACTTTAACCTTGTTAGTCGTAATATAAGTTAATTAACTGTAAAAAGTCAGTTTTTTTTTAACCAGAGAAGGAGAAAGTGAACTGTTAGGCGTAAAAGCCATCACATCATGGAGATCCTCTTGTCAGTGATTTTGCTGAGGATAACGTTGAGATATGGAGGATACTTTTCATGATTTTATGAAAGCTCTTGATATTTCGATGGCATTTCAAAATGTTTTAATTTCGCCTTTGGTTCGTGCGCTGACGAACACTTTCAAAACATCAACCTGACTATAAAACATTTAATACTCGCGCTTATCGGACACAAAATAATTTCAATATATCAACAAAGTTGAAAAGATACGTATGATGCACGATCCTTCGNGTATCGCAGAGGTCAGTGGTTCGAATCCCGTACAGGCCTGAAATTTTTTTCAGGTCTGATTTCCACTATTGCTCAAATAGTGCTTTACTGCGAAGGATCGTTCTTATATACGTCTCATAACCGCAGTTCACTCATATGTTTCATATGTTTGTTGTTGTTCGATTTATCATCTACGGGTTTATATCGAATTAATTTGATGGCCTGCTCCCAGTTGGCTTGTTAGCTCAATTGGTAGAGCGCTGCACTAGTATCGCAGAGGTCAGTGGTTCGAATCCCGTACAGGCCTGAAATTTTTTTCAGGTCTGATTTCCACTATTGCTCAAATAGTGCTTTACTGCGAAGGATCGTTCTCATATACGTCTCATAACCGCAGTTCACACATATGTTTCATATGTTTGTTGTTGTTTGATTTATCATCTACGGGTTTATATCGAATTAATTTGATGGCCTGCTCCCAGTTGGCTTGTTAGCTCAATTGGTAGAGCGCTGCACTAGTATCGCAGAGGTCAGTGGTTCGAATCCCGTACAGGCCTGAAATTTTTTTCAGGTCTGATTTCCACTATTGCTCAAATAGTGCTTTACTGCGAAGGATCGTTCTTATATACGTCTCATAACCGCAGTTCACTCATATGTTTCATATGTTTGTTGTTGTTCGATTTATCATCTACGGGTTTATATCGAATTAATTTGATGGCCTGCTCCCAGTTGGCTTGTTAGCTCAATTGGTAGAGCGCTGCACTAGTATCGCAGAGGTCAGTGGTTCGAATCCCGTACAGGCCTGAAATTTTTTTCAGGTCTGATTTCCACTATTGCTCAAATAGTGCTTTACTGCGAAGGATCGTTCTTATATACGTCTCATAACCGCAGTTCACTCATATGTTTCATATGTTTGTTGTTGTTCCATTTCAACTTTGTTGATATATTGAAATTATTTCGTTACCCCCACCGACGCAGCCCCAAACAGTTTCTTTAAAAACTATCGGCCTTTATTCTTATGGGATACAGTTTATCCCACACTCACACATGAAGTGTGCACACCCTGGGGTGTGCTATGGGCTCCTGTCTCATCTCAGTACAGCTGTCAAGTTGATTGACTTCGTTCTTAATTGATGATTGAGTTGGAAATAGCAGGAGTTAGGTACCGGAGAGAAAAAAAAACAAAAAAAAACTTATGTTCTGTCCATCAAATACGGAACATTTAGATGATTTTCCCCATTCAAAGTACTCCTGTCCGGCCATTATCTTTGATTTTAATGCTTTTACCGGTGCCTCAGAATTTTCCTGCAGAATGTGCTGTCGACGACACCCATGTGCAATGCAGAGTTTTTCGAAATTTAAATATGTAGAACAAGTCTGATGTAACTTGTGCAAAGAGTAATAAACAACCGTAAGAGATACTTCAGCTTAGTTTCCTTTTCTTCAATTCGTCGTCTTATATTTCATTTCGCGCTCACCACGAATTAAAGGAATATAAAGAAACGAGGATACGCTTCACTTTTCATTTTGATTGGTCGAGAAAGAAGGCGTGTGTTTTGTGGACAAATTACAAAGCGTAGATAAACTATAACCATTTCGATTTCCATAGCGAATACTTTTTTTAGATTCGCTTCAAAATTGTCTCATCTTATCACAAAATATTTACTTTCCCAAGCGAAAGGCGAATACTCACGTTTAGCATACATGGAATCTTTATTTTGTAATCATTTCCCCGTTTAAGTAGCATAATCATTCGAGTCAACTTCAGTTGTATTTTCCAAATTTTCATAAGACTCCAACATTCATTCCAAACTACTTTGTATTTACTCCGCTAATTTATTAGAAACGACGAATGTTATCAAATGAGGCACTTTTTTTTTCGATCAGTTTCCTTTTTTATTCGTTTTATTCGTACTTTTTGACAGCCACATATCTTTTCATTATTTTATTCCGAAGCTGACCCGCTAAGTTCAGACCGCAGTTAGAATTTATGTTCTTTTAAGGCGCGGAAGTATAAACTCATAGGGAATAAGCAACTTATTGACCATCATAGATGCTATGTGGGCCGCTTTGTCAAGAAACTCGATCATTATGGTGCCTTGTTGCCAAGTTACCAAATGAGAGTGGCGCAGGCAATTAAACATCAATTACTTTAAGGCCTCATGAAAAGACGGTGGGAACTAATTTGCGTCTAAGAGGGTAGGGTGCCGGATATTTGAACATGAAGTTTTTAAAAGGTAATTTTAGCTTGTCAGGCAGACAAGCTATTGCAATTTTTGTTTTCATCCCTGGACTATATTAAAATGCGGCGTACAAAAGACACTTCCGTAAAAATTTGGGCTCCTTGTCAGGCCAAATAAAACGTATATGCAAATACCTTGTCTACCTTAGATTAAAGAAATAAAAAATAACAATTCAAATTTCTGTGCAAAGTTCTGAATCTACCAAGAAAACAATTGAATGCAACAGCTTTTAACACTCTGAACAAGCAAAATGTAATTTTCATCAGAAAGCTCCAAAATTCTCTATTTTTAGCCGGGTTGTGTTCAAATATTCATGTATGAAAGTCTAAAAGTTCAAAACATCGATGTTGCATCCTCAGTGTTGTGTATCACGTCCTTTTCCACCGCATTGTTCTCTTCAGGAAGCACCAATGCGGAGGTTCTTGTATTATCTGTTTAGTTATTAACTCCTTCGATATTCTCCATTTAGGGATTTCTATTGAAAATAATGAGGCCTAAGTTCTGTTATTTCGAAACATTTATCGATGAAATGCTTTCACTCGGTCAGATGAATTTCCCACCTTTATTTGAAAAACATGGTAACTGCGTGTCTTTCTCTGGCGCTTGAAAACGAAAGATGGCTCGAAAACAGCACATGACATGTGTTATAAAAGATCTTGAATACAGTGAATAAGCCCGAAAGGTATCGATCGACAAACTCTCATTGAGTGGTTGTTTGTATCTCAAAAACCTTGGATTTCCAGTGAAAGATCAGTGTAGACTGAATTTGGAACAAATTTCGACACGATTTTAAACTTTCATTCTTTCACCTCAGCGGTAGCCATTCCGGCCCACTTTTCGCTGCTTTGGCGTGTGTCGGGTTTTCTTCAGATCAATTTTAGTACTAAATAGGTACAGAGCGGAACTGGCTTTGCAGTCAATTTCGAACCTGGCAATACGGGAGAAACGAAGAGAAATGCAACTGTTATATTTTGGTATTGCGTTTAGCTGGTTGACTTACCTCGTTATCTTTGGAAAAACGAGAAAAGACAAATCCTTCCTCGTGTCTTAGATTGTCCTCTAGACCTACCGAATCCATCGATTGCTCATCGTTCAACTCGCACAGTCCGCGGCGTTGAAATGGTGATATTTCTTTGAAGTTTATCGAACGACATCTTGAATTTGAGAGGCAAGATTGACTGCAGAAAATCTGGCTGGGACTCTCCTGGGACTTAAAGGTAAATCCTTTCAATCTAGTGTTAAGCTTTGTCAGAATCGCTCCTGGAAAGGTCCGATTTTCTCCAGCAGACAATACAGATAATGTTAGCAAGTATGAGGCAAGCGAAAGAGAGAAAAACTCCTTCCTCGAAACAATAGACATCTTTCAATTCAACCGTCCATTTCCAAACACAGTATTCGTTTGGAAAGTGTTGCAAATTTTGTTTTGCTTTTCCTTTGAGAATCGTTCAGCTGCAACTGTAATATTTAATCAAAATAATACAGGCAACGATGATTAAGTCTAAAAAATCTATCAATGTCAAAACTCAGAAAATTTATATATATTTTTTTCAAATGCACCCGGATAATCACATGAAAGGATTCGTCCCCATTGACTAATCTAATTTCGATAATAACGTTTTTCAGTTAATAATAATAAGTAAACATATTTGATGAAGACTCTTACGCCTGATAATATTCTTATTAATTAACTTTGTAAATTAATTTAGTTTCATGGGATTAAATGTCATAAGGGTATTTAGTAGAACGTGGCTACAACGGAAATATATATTTTTCTTTCTTCTGAAAAATAATTGCAGAATTTTACAGAGATCGACACTAACTTTTCAACTTACTAGCCAAGTGGCTGGCGACAGCTTAGTTTTCACGACAATTTCAGTTTGTTCACTAGCCAAACTGGCCATCGGAAATAGAAAACCACTGGCCAAAACTGAATTTCTACTAGTCTGTGGCTAGTTGGCTACAGTTAGTGTCAAGCATCTGATCTTATATTTTTCAGGTAGAAGAAATTTTTCCTTTGTTGGGCAGATTTTTTCGGGGTTTCGCCATTGATTTATGATTCAATCTAAAAACAAACATAGAAGACAATGATAATGATCTTGGTTAAAGTTAGCTATTTTAGCTTAGAGCGTTCGTACTGAATTTTCGCCACTGCTCTGAAGTATACCTAGTCTCCCCCCGGAGCCGTTTTTAGTCTCGTCACGCAACGCTCCTCCCCACAAACGACTGCTCACATTCGAACAA